TTCAGACAGCCTGCTGACACTCAGAATTCCTGTCTCCTGCACATGGGTGGCCAGTTTTCCCATTGCTGCTCATTGAAGACACTACATTTGCCCCACTTTCTGTTCTCAGCATCTTTGTTGAAAATCTGTCAACCCTGGATAAATTTATTTCTAGGTTTTCTGTTATGATTCATTGATCTGCATGACTGTTTTATGGCATTACCATGTGGGGTTTCTATTGTTGCTATAGTACACTATCCAATCCGGTAGTATATTATCTCTAGCTTTATTCTTGCTTAAGATTTCTTTGATATTTGAGGCCTTCGGTGAATCCATGTAAATTTTAGGATTCTTTTTCTATTTCTGTGAAAACTTCCACTGAAATTTTGACAGGGATGATAGTGAACTTGTAGATTTTTTTGAGCAATATGGATGTTTTAACTTTTCCAATCCATGAACACAGAACATTTTCCTATTCATCTATATCTGTTCTGTTTCTTTCATTATTGTCTCATAGTCTCCTCTGTAAATATTTTACACCCTTCTTTAAATTTATTCCTCTTTCAGTGCAGTAGATGTGACTGTCTCCTTGATTCATTATCATGAGGGTACAGAAGCACACTGGTTTGGGGATACTGGCTTTGTACATACTTCAACTCTACTGGATTCAGCTATTAGCTCAGACAGTTTTTGGAGTCTGTGCTTTCTCACTGTCTGTAAACAGACAATTCAACTTCTTCCTCTCCAAGTTAGATACCTTTTATTCTCTTCTCTTTCCTTATTGCTCTGGATTTCCAGTAGGGAACTTAATTGAAATGGCAACAGTGGACATTCATGCTTCATCTCCAATCTCGGTGGAAAAGCTCTTAACTTCTCATTACTGAGAATGGTGTTGGCTAGGGGCTTGCTACAACTGTCTTTTATTGAATTGAGATTTATTGCTTCTAATGATAACTTGTTGAGAATTTTATCATGAAAACCTGTTGACTTTATTGAAAACCTTCTTTGAATATACTGAGATGACTTCCTTCTGTGAGTCATGTATCATGCTTATAGACACATGTATATGGACACTGATCCTTTTGTTTCAGTGACAGACTCTACTTGATTGATGGGTGAACATTTTAGAAACTGTTGAATCCAGGCTGCTAGTAGATTTGTATTTATGTTCATCAGGGATAATGGCCTGAGATTTTCTTTCCTTCTGGTGGCTTTGTTTGACTTTGGTGTCAGGATAATGCTTGCTTTGTCAGATGAATTTGGAAGTTTTCCCTCTGTATCAGTCTATGAGGGATGCTGCAGTAACTTCTGAATAATACAGTCTTATAGTTCTCAAAGCTAAGCACCAGTTCATGGTGTCTAGTTCTAATTCGAAGGATGCACTTTCTTGCTGCATCCTTACATATGGGAAGGGGGAAAATACTCCTTTTAACTTTGGACCAGTACTCCCATTCTTACTTCTGAAAGGGTGATTTTCTTCTGTTACATTAGGGACTAAATTCTAACATAATTTTAGGTGTGGGCACCAGGATTCAGGCCATAATACCTTTTATTTTAGGGAGAGGGTTGGGAAGGACTAACATTAGTTCTGATGTAAATATTTGATAGGGTTTAGAATAAAGCAATCAAGCTCTGGGACTTCTTTGATGGAAGGCTTTTTATTACTAGTTCAGTCTTTTCATGTTCATATTTTCTATTGTTTTGTGGTTCAGTCTTGTTAAGAATACTTGAGATTTGTCTTCTTTTCTAAATTGTCCTATTCATTAGGATGTAACTGTCCACAGACATCATATTAACAGTTTATTTCTGAACTATGACTTGAATGTCTCCTCTTTCATTTCCAATTCTGAGTCTCTGGCCTTTTCTGCATTTTCTTAGATAACATAGTCTTGATAATTTTATCATTTATTTCATTTTTAGTGTCTATTTTTACTTCTTACATTATTTTCTTCTGCTAACTTTGGGCTTAGTTTGTTTCTCTTTTTCTGGTTTCACATTAGCTTGTTTGATGGCACTGTTTTGAGGTAGGCCTTTGTCACTCTGAAAAAGTATTTTCTTCAGAACTGCCTTTGCTGTGTTCTGTAAGTTGTGGTATATAGTGTGTTCCTGGTTTTTTCCACAGTGGTTTCCAGACTCATGCTTTACTTCTTCTCTGACCTGTTGGTGGTTAGGGGTGTGCCATTTAATGTCCACACATCTGTGAATCATCTGAAATTGCTTCTATCACTGATGTCTAGCTTCATATCACTGTGGTCAGAAAACATATTTTATGAAATTTCAACCCATAAATATTTTAAGACTTGCTTTATGGCTTAACCTTTGATTCACCCCAGAGAATGTTCCACGTACATTTGAGAAGAATATGCCCTCTTGTGTTGTAGGACAGACCGTTCTATTTAGCTTAAAGTGTAGTTCAGACCATTTTTTTTTTCTTATTGACTATATGACTGAGTTATTTATCCATTATTGAAAGAGGGTATTGAAGATTGGTACTATTACTGTACTCTGTCTGTCTCTGTCTGTCTTTGTCTCTGTCTGTCTCTGTCTGTCTCTCTGTCTGCCTCTCTCTGTCTGCCTCTCTCTATGTCTCTCTCTCTCTCTCTCTCTCTCTCTCTCTCTCTCTCTCTCTCTCTTAAGCGCACCACAGACTGAGCTCATAGCGGCTTTGGGGCTTATAACTCCAGTCTCAGGGGCAGGGGGTTATTCAGGTTTCCACTAAACAAAACCTTAACTTCTTGTAGGTCCTGGCCCCAGCCCTAGCCCAGCCCCAGCCCAGACCTTGTGAAGTCTGCCCCTAGGCAAAGACACAGAACTGTTGTTCTCTTTGTCTTTTCATCAGGGGCTCTAAGAAAGCCTTGGATCATCCTGGTTCCCGACATTTGCTTATCTGTTTAGGTAGTACTTCAATGTGATGTGCACGTATTTTTATGCTTTATTCTTGATGAATCAATCCTAATATCATTATATAGTGTGGCTCCCCACTTCCTCCCTCCCTCCCTTCCAGTTTTTGACTCAGGGACTTTTTTTCCTGAGGTAGGCATAGCTATTCCTGCTTTCTCTTGGTTTCCAATTTGCTTGTAAGGTATCTTACATCCTTTCATTTTCAGTCTGTGAGTTTCTGGTAGGCAGCATATTGTTGAGTGTTTCATTCTTATCCATTCAGTCTCTCTACCTCTTCTTGTTGGATAGTTAATACATTTACATTCAAGATAATTACTAATAGCTAAGGACTTTGACTCTTTGTTAATTGTTTTCAGGTTATTTGTAAATCCTTCTTCCTTTCCTTGGTTGCTGTTCTCCATAATGTCTTGATGCTTTTTCTCTAGTGCATACTTTGTTTTGCTTCCTTACTATCTATCTCTTATGTATTCACTATAGCCTTTGGCTTTATGGTTATCATAACATTTACATAAAAGAGGCTATTTTAAAATGATAATATCAATCATAAAAGATAATAAACAGTTTATTATAACATCCATTCTGATCTTGATTTTGGTGTGCAGATTTTCATGTTTTGTTTTATATCATTAACAGATTATTGTGGCTACTATATTGATAGCTTTATTTTTAAACTTCATACTAACAATGTATGTAATTTACTTAGCTTGCAGAGAACTTCCTACTTTCTCATCTGTTTGTTTGCTTGTTTGTTTGTTTTTTGAGACAGTGTTTCTCTTTGTAGCCCTGTCTGTCCTGGAATTCAATTTATAGTCCAGGCTGACCTTGAGCTCATAGAGATTTGCCTACCTCTGCCTCATGAGTGCTGGGATTAAAGGTTTGTATTACCACTGCCCAGCTTTTTCTGATGTTTTATGTTACCAATCCCTTTCTTTATCTTTCTGCTTAGAGAACTGCCCTTTCCTGTAGGAAAGAAACCTTGTGGTGATAAACTCCCTTAGCTTTTGTCTACTTTTATTTCTCTTCCATTTTAAAAAAAAAGAAACCTCTTGCATTTTAAAGTCTATCTTATTTATTTATGTATGAGTGTTCTGCTGTATGTACACCTACATGCCAGAAAAGGGCAGCAGATCCCTTTATAGATGGTTGTGAGCCACTGTGTGGTTGCTAGGAATTGAACCTGGGTCTTCTGGAAGAGCAGACAGCATTTTTAACCACTGAGCCATCTCTCCAGACCCCTCCTCTTCATTTATTTTTTTCAATAGTTTTTCTTTTTTGCCTATCATCCCGATCACAGCCAGTTTCCCCCTCTTCCAGTCCTACATTTATAAATCCCTCTTCCCACTGCCCCCTTCCCTTCTTCTGAGAGAAGGGGAACCCCTGCCTTGGGTACCACCCCACTCTGGGACATCTAGTCCCAGCAGGACTAGGCACATCTTCTCCCACTGAGCCTAAACCAGGCAATCCAAGTATGGAAAGAGGGCCTAAATGTGTTTCTTAGCACCCATACAGGGTAGCTTACAACCACATGAGTAACTCCATCTCCAGGGAATCTGTCATCTTTTGGCTTCTGGGGGCACCTGTTCTCATATGCATACACCCCAACATATACACACATGTAGCTAAAAGTTTTTTAAAATCATTTACAAAAAAACCCCTGAAAATCCCAATAAGCCAATAGATATACTGACCATAAAGCACAGAAGACAATCTCCCTGGCTTCTCTTTTCAGAAATTATTATGGTACCTTGCCAAGTGCAAGCAGGGCCCAGAACAAAGTGTCAGTGGACCTAAACATCAGCCAGTCTTAGAAAGTGGCCACGATCGGATAGCTTGACTTCTCACTACTGGATCTGAGGAACTTGCACACTTTCCGAGATCCTCGTCAATCCTGAGTTATATGTTGCAGTTCAAGCTCAGCACCACTGGAGGGAAGCAGACTTATGGCAGCTGTCAGTCCACTGGACTACGGTGCTCTCTGGGGCCTCAAGCTCCACAGGGCTACAGTGGACACCACATATGGTAGAAATAGCTTCAACAAGCAGTTGAATCTTCAGGGAAGATGTAGTTTCTGTTCATTGTCCTTCTTCTTAACTGAAAGGCACAGTCCTTCTTCTTAACTGAAAGGCACAGCATGCTGCGTGAAGTCCCATATCATCCTTGCACAGGGGCCATGATGACCTTCTCTGTATCATTCCAGTTTAGTATCTGCACTCTGGAAGTGAGCAGTGTCAGGTGGGGGATGTGCTCCAGTCTGCAGTCTGACTTTACTTGGGAAACTCTATCATCAGGTAGCCTGTCCAGGCAGCTCATCACTAATGAAGCAAGTATCCTTTAAAGATGGTCATAATCCTGAGTCTTTTGTTTATGGCAATCCTGGAGGTTGAGCCCAGGACCCAGCACTTGGCAGACAAGTGCTCTACCCTGACATATAGCTCTAGTGCTTTCATTTCAATGTTTTCACTTTCAACTTCAGTTAAACTTTACAGAGTCTTTAAGAAATATTTCATTTTTTATTAATACACACATACACACATCTCCTTATGTTCGAGTAATGTCTCAATTAGGATTTCTATTGCTGTGAATAGACACCGTTACCATGACAACTCTTATAAAGGAAAACATTTAATTGTTTCAGAGGTTTAGTCCATTATCATCCTTGTGAGCAGCATGCAGGTAGACATGGTTCTGGAGAACGAGCAGACAGTTCTATATCTTGAAGAAGACTGTCCCACTAGGGCTAGCTTGAGCATATGCAACCTCAAAGCCTGCCTCCATGGTGACACACTTCCTCCAACAAGGCCACACCTCCTAATAGTGCCACTCCTTATGAGTCAGCATTCAATGCCATGAGTCTATGGGGGCCATTCCTATTCAAACCACCACAGTAGCATTAAATGTCTTCATCAGCAAGAGGACAGAATAGAGCTTCCCACGGCGCATTTCCTCGCAGAAATACTAATTCAAACTGTCTGTATAGGGAAATCCCTCTTTACTTGGGAAAGGAGTTGAATCTTCAGGGAAGATGTAGTTTCTGTTCATTGTCCTTCTTCTTAACTGAAAGTAAGTCGCTGGGAGGTCACATCTGAGTGCAGCGCAGACCAAGAATCACTGGGAAGGGCAGGAGCTACAGGTTTATACCTTTCTCTCTCTCAAGCCCCAGAGAGCACAGTTGGGAGAGAAATTCCTTCCACTGGGAAAGGGTAATAATGTCATCAGTGGAAAGAATTTGCATGGGGACACGGGGCCTGTCCCAGTAAATCCAATGCTGTTCTGGTCCCCACAGTCCCCACATCCTGAGCCTCCAAGCCCACATAATTACCAGGCTAATTCTACTGGTCCCACAGGCTCCACGTTTTGAGCTACTCCAGGGCCAGACCAGCCTCTGCAGACTCAGTCTCCAAGCTCAGGCTGACAGACTATCCCCAGGTTTTCTATGTCCCCCACCTCAGCACCAGGGTGAACTCCATGGCCACTGTCTTCAGAACTAGATTAACCCATGCATTAGCCAGGCCCAGCCTCAAGCTGTGATGAACTTTGCACTGCTGAACACTTCTTTCTCCGCCTCTGCTAAAGAAAATAAAAGGAAATAGTTTCAAATATTTTCTCTAGTTCATTGCTTTGGTTTGAATGTGTCCCCCAAAGTTTATGTGTTTAAAATTCAGCTCCAAGGGCTGGAGAGATGGCTTCAGTGCTTAAGAGCACTGGCAGTTCTATAGAGAATCCAGGTTTGGTTCCCAGCAGCCACATGGTGGCTCACAACCATCTGTAACTGCAGTCTCAAGGAATCCATTACCTCCTTCTGCCTCCGTGGGCACAAAGCATGCATATGGTGCATGGACAGACATTCAGGCAAAATATGCAAGCACATAGAAATAAACTAAATTTTCAAAAATATTTAGTTTTCAGTCAACACTGTTAAGAAGTGGGACCTTGAAGAGGAGACAAAGTCTTCTAATGGATGGAGTATGGGAGTTTATTCCTTATGAAAGAATGCTCTGGCCTCATCTCCTGTTCTCCCCACCACCACCTCATGCACACATAGTGATGTGATAAAAGAACTCTTGCTGGATGCTACTCCTTGCATTTCTCTGCCTCTTGACCACAATACATTTCTGTTCACTATGTGTTACAAAGTTTCAGATATTCTGTTGCACAGAACAGACTAGAATATCCATTATCTCTGAATTACTCTGTCCCTGGGTTATTGGCTTTGACAGGTGGGGAGGGGCAGTGCTTTGCTTCTTCCTTGAGACAGTAGTGTTCTTACTGACAACTGATATGAATATTCGTGCTTATCTAAAATTCATGCTGAGTTTTAACCCACAAGGCAACAATTTTAAGTTTTAAGAAAATGAGCCTCTAAGGGGATAATTAGGACATGAGTTCTTCTGGGTACAATATGCCCTTAAAAAGGTTTGGGTAAAAGAGTTTGAGTTGGCTTACCCCACTCTGCCCCTGCCCCATGACTTTTCATCCCTCTACCAAGTGAAGACACAGGAAGAAGGAGCCAGCTGCGAATCAAAAGGAGAGGTCCCTCAGTATGATATCTGATGGTGACTTGAGGTTGAGCTTCCCAACATCTAGAACTACCAGAAATGGGTTGATAATATTTTTAATGCAATCAGTCCTATTTTGTTAAAGCACCTAAATAGGCTGAGAGCAACAAACTGCCATCTTTCTCTGCCTCAAAGAAATGACTTCTGATTGCCTTCATTTTCTTTCATCTTGTATGAATAAAAAGACTAAGGCAAACACCACATTACCTGGGTGTGGCAGCCCATAATCCTAGCACTCCACGCAGGAGGCAGAGGCAGACAAGTCCAGCCTGGTCTACATAGCAAGTTCTAGGAAGCCAGAGTTACATAGAAAGACCCTGTCTCAAACAACAGCAACAAAAATACCCCCACTGTCACCATAGATACCATCACCATCAACAACAACAACTACAAAAAAGTGTGTTCAGTCTGTTAGAGAAGATTTTTGATAAAAAGAATTTTTCTTACATGAGTTTGTTTCATTAGCTATCACTTTATTCTTTTCCTTGAAGAAAATGGAAGTATAGAAAAGTCTTTTGTTGTATGTTTTAATTTTCATGATGATAGAGACTGGATCCAGGGCTCAAGTGTGATAGGCAAGAACTCCATCCCTGGGCTATCACCTTTGCTCAAAGATGGTTTTTAAACAGGTCCATGTATATTTGAGTGCAAGGTTATAGTCATGCTTGCTGTTTGTTTTCTGAATAGAGGATTTCACTATGTTGCCTGGAATGGTTTCAAAACCCTGGGCTCCAGTGATCCACCCACTCTCTTGTTTCCAAATTTTAATGAAGTACACTCTGTAGGTTTAGTTTTAAAAAAAAAAACTTTTCATAAGGGTTCTCAAATGCTTCAAACCTCCGTCTAGACCACCATCCAAAAGTAAGGGAGAAAAGACGGTAAATAGGACAAGGGGATGTGGACCTGTTTACAAGTAGTTCCGTCAGGCAATTCAAGTCACTGGATAGCAGCAGTCCAGGTTAGTAGTGTCTGTAGTGCATATTTTCCCGAAAGTTGGGAGGAGCTAAGGTGGGAGGAGTAAGGAGAGGAAGAGAAGGAGGAAGAGGAGGAGCAGAGGGAGGCAGAGATATAGGAGAATGGAGAGCCACGAATGTATGGAGAGCAGTTCTGGGTAACAACTTATATCTAGGTTAGTTAATTTGGAAACACCTCCAATTGTGTGGGCATCTTGTTATTGAACATTACCAAACATATAAAGCCTTTGATTAATCTTTAAGCATTAGAGTCTCATTTATACCAGGTACCACGTGTATGGCGGAATGGTCTGGGCTCAGCCCAGCCTTGTGGAGACAGCATGGAAGATTGGCAGAGCCATCTCCCACCATGGCATCTTGTGGATGCCAGGGCCATTGTCTCTGGCCACCTGAGTCTGTGGTCTGAGCCGGTGGCCTGAGCCGAGCGGTGGAGAATACGCCACCACTGTTAATGGCCTCAGGGCTAACCTAGTCAGGAACATGGCGGCTCTGTAGCACAAGCCCGATTGAGTGCCACCGATTTAAAATATTTCAACAAAGTGGCACCCAATGTGACACACAAAGCAGCAGCAGTGGCACAATCCAGTAGAAACAGCCAGCCTCCACCAAATCAGCACAAGTAAACAGGAGTTACCAGGATCAGCCAGGATACCAGAAGTTCTCTGGCATGCCTCTTTCAGTGAAGCAAAGATCAGGTAAGATGAAGACTCAAGACCAATGAAGCTTTCCAAAGCTAGCTATACAAGAGCACCATGACTGCCCCTTGATTCCTATTTATAGTCTCTCCAAACATCACAAGTTCTCCCATGGGTCTTGCCTCAGCAAAACACCATGTGAGTATATCATCTGACATATCCAGAAACTTCCACTTCAACATTCCTTGTACGTCTCAGGACATAGATGGTTCAAATTCTAGATTTTTCAAAACCATAAAATAATAGAATCATATCTACAGAAATATAAATATTTCTTGCCTCCCTCACCCACCCAGTGTGTGTTTGCGTGTGTGTGTGTTGCATATACAATAGTATACTGGTGAAATCTGCACACTTGCATGCAGAGACCAGAGCAGGCTATCAAGTGTCTTCCTCTAACACTCTCCACACTATTGCCTTTAGACAAGGCCTCTCGCTAAATCAGAAGCTCATCCTTCTGGATAGACTGAATGGCCAGGGACCACTTGGGATCTACCCGTGTCTGCTTCTAGTGCTGGGGTCACAGAAGCCATGCACAGCCATGCACAGCCACGTACACCCATGGTGCTGGGGATTTAAATACAGGCCCTCATGACTGCAGAGCAAGCTCTCTTACTTTCTGAGCCATCTCCCAGCCCAGTATTCCAGTAATTTCAAACAACATGATATATCTGAGAGGTGAAGCACTAAAACATTGTGAGTCACTCTTTTGTGGGTAATGGGGAGTCAAGAAGGGTGTTTAAAAAAGGAAATGGAAAAGATATCTACAGAGACATAGACATGTCCTGTTGGAATTGTGAGAGCTGTGCAAACTGTTAAGCTTTCTTTCCTCTGTTCAAAGGTCAGCACTTCAGCGTGAGCCACCAACAAGGCACATGGGAAGCCAATTAATGCAGGGGTGGAGTGAGGTAGGAAAGCTGGCAGAAAAACACTGAGGCATCTGTTGTTTTCTCTTGTACTCTTGGTTTGCACTAAAGAATGGCCTGACCCATTGTTT